AACCCTGGAAACGTGAAAAAGGTCCCAGAAAGGTTGAGAACCACAGCTCAAAACCAGCCAGGGTGGTTTACAATTATTTTTCATAGGGTGATTTTAAGATTTAAGCTCATCTTAACAACAGAGACTATTTCCTTACACATTAGCATTGCACTCAGTGTACTTTATGCTTTAACGCAAGTATTGTTTTCTTAAACAACTTCACAACATGTCCTCATGGAAATGCCCCGTGTTAATGAGAGCAGCAGACAGTCAGTTTCAGTTCAACGACAGATGTTTCTGGTTCTCTGCAACTCCGTCCGTCTGTGCAAACACAGTTGTCTAAACCCAGAAAGTAAACGAAGGTCCAGGGCAATAACCATAGACTGCATAAATAGCAATAACACAGTGTTGTGCAGTTTTCTTCGAGTATCATGAGACCGTTGCGGCTCATTTTGATTTGTGGTGCTGGGAAGTTGGAGAAAGAGGTTATGCAACGCTGTTAGAGTGAGGATGCCAAGATGGGTGTCAACAACACAGAGCTATTGTGGGATGGGCCTTGCTGTTGCCTGGTTACAAATATTTTGGGCAGGGAACCAGGCAAACATGTCCCGCCTCTCCAGGAAACAAGACACTCTCGTGATTGCTACAGGGGTTCAAGTTGTACAAAGAGCAGAGCAAGAAAAACAGAGAGAGAAAGCAAAACACACGGCCCTCCCTTGCATTGTGGAACTTTTTTTTTTTTTTTTGGAGCAAGATGGCAAGGGTTAATTAAAACAAAACAAGGCAAACAATATGGCTCTTGAGTAGTGCCAAAAAAGGACAACTGAGCTTTATTTTTGCATAAAGACAAATGAATGCATGCGAACACCCAAGACCCGGGAGCGCAGTTGGGCCGTTTGAACTGAAATGCAAATAAACATATTTTCCTATTCATTGTTCTGCCAGTAACTCACAAACTGCAGAAACTGCAGTCAGAAACAACAAAACATGTGCCAATCGCCTGAGTAAATGCGAGTTTGTGATTACAAGACAAATCAGCATGCTAAATGACATACCTATATGTTGACTCTTGGATTAACTACATTTTTATTATACAGCATGTTTAATACCACTGATACGTTTAACAAAAACTTTTAAAAAAGGGGGCAAACTTCTAATGTAATATAGGTGCACAAGCTATTTACATATTAAAATGATATAAAAAAAATAGCATTAAAACATACAAAGTACAGTAAAAAAAATAACCTTATAGACATCTGTATAGAACAAACTAAATGTTGCCTGTTTTAGAGATCGAGATTCTTTACACTTCCATCTCATCACAGTCTTTTACTAGAGCTTTAATGGCTTGCAGTGTCAATCAGTAATTTTTTGTACTTCACACCACAGATTCTGTCTTTGGAACAGCTAGACTGTCAATGCATTAACATAATGTTTTATTAATATTCTGTTGTAGTTCATCCACTTTGTGGTTTAGTCAGTTTTTCCCATTGATTTACTGCAGTCTGCACCTCTTAAATCAGTGATGTGTTCAGTCGTCCATGCACTGACATGTGTTGAATAAGTAAGGCATAGGATTAAAAATGAGTTTACCTTAGTTTAATTATTAATTAGTTTAATAAGGACATTTAAGTAGCTTGTATAAACTTGCCTTAGAAAAAGCATCTACAGACAAAACTATGGCACTGATATATTTTAAGATATGACAGGGCAAGTTGCTTTTATAAGCTGTATAATTGCGTTAATTACAGTAGCCTAGTCTTAATAAAAAATTGCAACTATGTTCAAGTTGTCCACATTCAGCCATTAGTTTGTGCATTGAATTAAACCAATTATACCTGGATTTCCTGCAGTGTAAGCAACATGTTTCAATTATTAAAAAACCTTAAACCTGATTTTAAATCGGTGGCTTTTGATGTTAAAGAATATCAACTACTTAAAAGAAGCCTAAAGTAAATTAGACACCAGTCAGTCTTTTGTTTATGCAAACCTAGAGTTACTCAACAGACATAAACATACTAGTTGTTATAAATTGTGTAAAATCCAAAACGTATGACTTATTGTGGACTATCACACTAACAGGCAACTAACTATCGAACAGATTACACTCATTTCGTGGTTTTGAAATCATTAGTTTTGTTCATGACAGCTACTGTCCGTCTGCAACAGTTGCACGGTTATATGGACGGGACGATTAGCACGCTAGCTAATGAAAAGAAAAAAAGGTTAGCACGCTAGCTACAGCAAATGGGACTAACTACCTATGCTAACTACAGTCTACGTGTGGTCTACTCATAATAAACCAAAACATGTAACTATGCGCCTTTTAACATCTTGTAAAAGTCACAAGAATGTAAACACAGACAACTGAAAGCGCACTTTCCCACAAGAGAAACTCTCACAGTTAAACCACTGTGTGTGTGCCGCCCCTTTAAGGGTTACCGCGGAAACCGGTTGCTACGCAGCAAAAACAAAAAAGTACCAATCGTCTTGACGTCCTTGCGTCAGAAGCGCGGGAACGGCGTTTCCTCGGCGACGAGACGTTGTATACATACGCAGGTTTGGTTGTAAACGTCCCGGGATTGTTTGCTTTAAATAATCCGTTTACTTGGTTTTGCATTAGCCACAGAATGTGAGACGGTTAACAGCCGTTTTGTTTATTATTATCGTTTTGTTTCCCTCGGTCTGTACATTTACTGACTGAAATGGAAATGTTATAATGCAGATCAACGGAATTTAAAGAGACAGTTCACTCAAAATGAAAAGTCACAAAGTGCTCATTCCTGAAGTCGTTCCAACACAGTATGCGTTTATTTTACATGTTAAAATACGTCTGTGTTAATGAATTTATTTTGCTTGGTAAACAAGTGACTGTGTCAGCCTCAGTCACCACAGGATCAGTCACCATTCATTTTTTTTGTATAGAAAGTTAATACATTCTAAACATCACCGGGTTGCTTTAAAGGTAAAATATGGACAAACACAACCGTTGCTTTGAGTTTAAAATCTAATTAAAAAATGTTAACAAGTAGTTTGCAATTTGACCGTGATAACAACCCAGCATTTTCAGGATGCATTCACTTTCACTACAACAAAAATGAATGGTGACTGTTATCCTGTCTAACGATATTATGTGGGCAACAGAAAACGAGGGGAAAGGGTTTGGTGAGTAATTTAAATGATGACTTTTCATCTCAGTCACAGTTAAGTCTAAATTTTTCCAAGTTATCAAACTAACGTGTAGCCTAATTTGCATTAACCAGTGGGTCACACTGTTTAACGCTGTAGATGCGCCTCCTTATCTAGTTCATCTTTAAGCATCCCACATTTAATTTCTCTGACGTTTTAACGCGGATCTGGTGGATTTTGGTCAAATGTTTGAAGTATCCTACTCCGCATTAGTCATTCTTGTTCGGTCGTTATAACGTCTAGCATGGACACGGCGTTCTCCGCCGGTGACGCTCAAGAGTTGCTGACTAATTGTTGTTTCCCTCACCCATCCTTTCCTTCCCCACCGTCGAGATATAAGGTATGGTTGGTATTGGTACACACTGTACCTTGCCTATTATACCGCGTTTATCTGAGTGCGTTACATTATTAAGAAGACACGCTCGTTTCCCTACACACAGAGCAATGAATCACCTTCCTACATGAAGTGAAATGTGACAGTAGCCTATGCGACACTCACTATGACTTCCGTCACTACATCCCACTACCCGGCCTGGAACTTAGCCTACTACATGCTTCTTGTAAATGGCGAGGGTATCAGCCATAATAATGAGCGCTTTGTTTGCTGAACAATCCTGACAGATCATCCTGATCGTCGTGCATTGTATTGCTATCATTTTAAGCATATAATTGATTGTCTTAAAATTAAACGTCATTGAATATACACCAACTGTTATAGCATATTTATAATAACAACAAGGAGTTATATGATTTGCATATAGTTCCCAATTAAGCTTACCCACAACAGAAGACAGGCAATGTAAATCTCTGCACCGACCGGTTCTCAAGACTGTTAGCAGCGAAGGAAGATCCAGTGTATCGGGGAATCCGCGGGGCGTGTCGCTGAGAAGTTTACAAGTGAGTCAAAACAGCTGAAAGAGGGTTTCCCTCGTGTGCTAATGCTTACCTCAGCGAAATAGCCTTCTTAAATTAGCTTTACGATTGCTCAGGTGTTTTCTCTTTGCTCTGTTGTTTATCATATTATTTTTAAAAAAGATGTGCATGCATATATATTTATATATGCATGTGTGTATATATATATATATATATATATATATGCACACAGACACATTCATATATGCACTGTAAATAATACTAAACTGAAAAAGTTCAACTGTTTATTCAATTAAATAAATGTACCAAAGTTAAAACTGACTAAAATTGAGTACATGGCAAATTATTGTGACTACTTAAATTGAATATGATATTACACTATAAAATGACATTTTTGTACAGCGTATAGATTTCATAGTTCTCAACAAAAAAACAAACAAACGTTTTTTATTAGTTTTTATTCCCCTCCTATTTATTGTCTGTTATATTTTAATAATGAATATTAGCCCACTTTTTAAGTGTAATTTAAATATACAGTGTATTGGAGAGAAAATGGTTTATTTAAACCTGATGTAATGACATATATCACATAACAAAGCATTTTAGGCCAATAATGTTGGAGAGAAAACAAGTTAGGAGAGAAAATTGTTTATTAAAAGTTGATATAGTTACAGTTAAATATAACGCATTTTTACGCAAAATATGTGCAAACCGTGTCGTTTCTAAATATTGTCCGTGAAAACCATGTAACGCTTAAAAATATCTCGTGGAAGTAATAGTAAACGTACCTATTCCTGACCGCGAGCTCTTCTCGTCTCTTTCTGTGGGTGAGGGAATCCCTTACACGTCATATTGCTTAGAGACCGAAAACAAAAACAGTGCTTTTAGACCATATATGGGCATCTACGTCAGCGGAACACCAGTAAGAGGAGGAGCCAGGACTCCCTACTTTACAATGCGTTCCCAGGCTTCATTCACAAGAGCGCTTCGCTGCTGCCGAAACACCGCACACTTTTTACTCCCGTTTGTGATGAACACATGCCGGATTATTTGATGGATTTATAAATGCACATTTCACGGATTGTACCAAGACCTGGGAAGTGTTATCCAAGGAGAGATTGGAATTTAGAAGTTTCCTCCAGCAGGGAACTGGATTGATGTCTTAATGCAACTATTTTGGAAAGAGACCAAGGGCCTCTTCACGAAGACTGCAAATAAAACTGGTTACGGTAGGTGACTTTAATATAGGCTAATAAAACGTTTAAATGCAATGCACGCGGTGTTCTCTATTATAGTGCATTGCGCGTTGCAAAAGCAAATATGAATGCCTTGGCAAAACGCTTCAGTGTGTCTTGTGTTGGGTGACAGGTGACTACCCGTACTCGCCGGGCACACTAGGTGTTTCGGCTTCTTTCCGCTCCACCGGGGAGATGTATCAGGGGTTCCCTGGAGACCCCGACACCGGCTCCCGTGGAAGCTCATCTCCTTCTCTTGAATCTCAGTACCTGTCTTCCGTGGAATCCTTCGGGAGTCCGCCCACCACCAGCGCACCGCAAGTAAGTCATAAACGCATTTAAACATCGTATAGCCACAAATAATTGTTTCGCTAAACAGCACGGTAGCGGCGAGATTTGTGTCTGAGCGAAGCTGCAAAGGGTAGGCTATGCATTTGAATTCTTTCGAGTGCGTTTAGATGTGTAAAGTCGGATTAGAACTGAATAGAATAGTGACAAGTCAGCATGCGCGCGGAATCGGGCCGGTTAGCAACGTGGTGGGTTTACAGCAGCACGCCGAGAAACAGATGACAAACTGTGGAACTCTCCGACGCGCGCACTCGAAGCTCCGCCTCGCGCTCACTCTCGCTTCTCGGACTTCTGCGTGACGTCAATGCGTTCTATTTTGGAGTGTTACGTTGGGTTGCTAAGGGGAACACCGGGGGTGTGACGGGGGCGGAGGAACAGGCACGGGAGGGCGACTCGAGGCCGCTGATTGGCTGCGTCACACTGCGCACGCTCTGCCAAACACGCTTTCACATGAATATTAATGAATCTTGGACCTGGCATCACTGAAAAAAGAAACCGTATTAATATAGTTTTGTCTCCTAAATGTGTTTTAAAGGGACAGTTCACCCCAAAATGGAAACTGTGTCATCATTTACTCACTCTCATGTTGTTATAAACCTGTATGAGTTTCTTTTTCTGTTGAACACAGAAGATTTTTTAAAGAATGTATTTGACGGTAGCCATTGACTTTGGTGTTCATGAGAGTGGGTACATGATAACACAATTTTCATTTTTGAATGAACTATCCTTTTAATAGTTGTAAACAGATAACTTATTAAATGGCTAAATATTCACTGGAACTCTTTCTCATTTTAGGGAAAATGGTTTTTTTTTTTTTTTCTCAGAAAACTGATAAGGAGGATCCATGTTTTTTTATTATATTTTCATAATTTTTCCAAAAAAAATCCAGCTTCACAGAAGTGTTATTTTCATATCATTGATATTTTATTATAGTTTTTGTTCATATTTTGAACTAGACTTCATTTTTATATTTGGCGCAGAAACCATTTTTGTCTTCACTCAGAAATTGCTAGTAAATTACAAAATTAATTACAAAGTAACTGCAAGTAACACATTGAATTAAACATGACATTTTGAAGTAGAACCATTGTATTAAACATTTTGTTGCATTCACAACTTTGAAAAAATATTTCTACAGTGTAGTTTGTCATTTTTATTTTAGTTTATTTCATTTTAGGGAAACACTTTATTTTACAGTTTCCTTGTTACACGTTACAGGTACTTACCATAGTAATAACAGTAAATTTTACATAATTACATGCAACTAACCCTCAACCAAATCCTAATCCTACCCTAACCCTATGGTAAGTACATGTAGTTAATAAATACTACTACACTGTCTGTAACATTGACAACTTAAAATAAAGTGTAACCCATTTTTGTTATTTTTTTAGTATTTCAAGATAAAGCTAAATTAGAATAGGAAAATGGTGCCTTAGCCAAAATAATTGTATTTGTTTCAATTTTTATGTTTTAGCTAACAATATTAATCCTGTGGATGCCAAATTGGTGAGACCCATAGTTTTATGCTGCTTATTTTTTCTGATTCCAGGAGTGTGTATCAGCCACTGGCGGGGTAGCGGTGGGTGGAGGGTTGACCGGCACCGGCACCGGGTCAGGGGTGGACATGCCCAGCTCATTTGTACCCACAGTGACGGCCATCACCACCAGCCAGGATCTGCAGTGGATGGTGCAGCCCACTCTCATCTCCTCCGTGGCCCCGGGGCAGAGCGGCTCGGGCTCCAGCACCATGACACAGGCTGTCGCCTTAGACCCCTACGACCTGCCAGGCCCGAGCTTTTCATCCCCGGGAAGCTTCACCCCACCAAACTCGGATACTCCAGGCCCGGTGCGACAGTCTCGGAGCCGCCGTCGTGCGCGGGATGAAGCGGTGAGTGGGGACCATGACTAAAACATGATGGAAAAGCCTAAAACAAGGTTTAATAAGATCCTGCTCTGTTTCCAGCTGACCCCTGAAGAGGAGGAGAAAAGACGCGTGAGACGAGAGAGAAACAAACAGGCCGCCGCTAAGTGCAGGAACCGACGGCGTGAGCTCACAGACAGGTTACAGTCGGTGAGCGATGCTGCACTCACATATAATTACACTTGTTACGTTACATCCCATTCAATATTTGATAACAGGCATCATAATAACTTGATTCATAACATGCCATTCTGCTCTTTACAAGGATAGTTTGTAAATGATAAACCATTGTAATTAGAGCAATAAACTCACTGTAATTATACACTCTCAGAAAAAAAGGTACGAAAGCTGTCACTAGGGCTGTACCTTTTCAAAATGTACCCAAAGGCTCCATATTGGTACCTTAGTAGTACATATTAGCACCTAAAATATACATATTATAGCACCTATTGTACATATTAGAACCTGAAATGTACATATTTGCACTTAAAATGTACATACTAGCACCTAAAATGTACATATTAACAAAGGAAATGTACATATTAGCACCTGAAATGGACATATTAACACCTAAAATGTACATATTAGCACCTGAAATATACATATTAGCACCTGAAATGTACATATTAGTATCTGAAATGTATATATTAGCATCTAAAATGTACATATTAGCACCTAAATTGTACATATTAGAACCTGAGTTGTACATATTAGCACCTGAAATGTACATAGTAGCACTTAAAATGTACATATTAGCACCTAAAATGTACATATTAGCACCTAAATTGTACATATTAGCACCTGAAATGTACATATTAGGACTTAAAATGTACATATTAGCACTTAAAATGTACATATTAGCACTTAAAATGTACATATTATCACCTAAAATGTACATATTAACACCCAAATTGTACATATTAGAACCTGAATTGTACATATTAGCACTTGAAATGTACATATTAGCACTTAAAATGTACATATTAGCACTTAAAACGTTCATTTTAACACCTAAAATGTACATATTAGCACCTAAATTGTACATATTAGAACCTGAGTTGTACATATTAGCACCTGAAATGTACATAGTAGTAGCACTTAAAATGTACATATTAGCACCTAAAATGTACATATTAGCACCTAAATTGTACATATTAGCACCTGAAATGTACATATTAGGACTTAAAATGTACATATTATCACCTAAAATGTACATATTAACACCCAAATTGTACATATTAGAACCTGAATTGTAAATATTAGAACCTGAATTGTACATATTTGCACTTAAAATGTACATACTAGCACCTAAAATGTACATATTAACAAAGGAAATGTACATATTAGCACCTGAAATGGACATATTAACACCTAAAATGTACATATTAGCACCTGAAATATACATATTAGCACCTGAAATGTACATATTAGTATCTGAAATGTATATATTAGCATCTAAAATGTACATATTAGCACCTAAATTGTACATATTAGAACCTGAGTTGTACATATTAGCACCTGAAATGTACATAGTAGCACTTAAAATGTACATATTAGCACCTAAAATGTACATATTAGGACTTAAAAAGTACATATTAGCACTTAAAATGTACATATTAGCACTTAAAATGTACATATTATCACATAAAATGTACATATTAACACCCAAATTGTACATATTAGAACCTGAATTGTACATATTAGAACCTGAGTTGTACATATTAGCACTTAAAATGTACATATTAGCACTTAAAACGTTCATTTTAACACCTAAAATGTACATATTAGCACCTAAATTGTACATATTAGAACCTGAGTTGTACATATTAGAACCTGAAATGTACATAGTAGCACTTAAAATGTACATATTAGCACCTAAAATGTACATATTAACACCTGAAATGTACATATTCAAATGTACACATACCAGTGACAGCTTTTGTACCTTTTTTGTGAGAGTGTGTTGTGGGAACATTCGAGCAATTTCGCAACTGAGACGATAAAGTTTATTTTGTGGTTGCTCTCTCTTCTGAAGTAGTGCTTGTTTTTGTGCTCATATAATCTCTGTCCCCTCGTGTCCCTCCTCTTGTCTCTCCAACATAAGGAGACAGACATTTTGGAGGAGGAGAAGGCCGAGCTGGAGGCGGAAATATCCGAGCTGCAGAAGGAGAAGGAGCGCCTGGAGTTCGTCCTGGTCGCCCACCAACCCGGTTGCAAAATGCCCTATCAGGACCAGCCCCCCGCTCCGCTGCCGCAGACGTCCCCGCAGGGGCCCTCTGTCTCCGTGGTGGGTTTGACCGTGAAGGAGGACTCTTTCTACCTGCCGCCCGCCTACTCGTCCCACCTCCACCACCACCAACACCACCAACACCACCAACAACACATCCCGGCTCCACAGCCCACGCAGACACAGCCGGCACCAGCACAACAGCAGCCAGGGATGATGCAGGAGGTAGCCTTTTCTAGTTCTTTCTATGGGCAGGGCCAGCCGGCGCCGGACGGCCCGTGTCTTGTTGCCGACGGTGGCGGTAACCCTGACGCCTGCAGCTACATCCCCTCATACACATCTTCATTTGTGTTCACCTACCCAGAGGGAGCCTGCGGGGCCAGCGCTAACCAGCGAACCAGCAGCAGCGATCAGTCGTCTGATTCCCTGAACTCACCCTCGCTTCTTGCACTCTGAGAGCTCTCTCTGCCTCTGCTTGCCTATGTCGACAACAGCACACATGCGCGCACACACTCAGACATCGTATTGATCCTTCACAGTTAAGCCCTGCGGGGCCCAGATGCGTTAGCGTCTGAGTGACTTCATCAGATAATGTAAGTGTATATTAATTCACAATGAATTCAGGCTTAATATCAAGATGAGTCAGTACCCCACACACACACTTAATTTCGACAAATTTAAATCCGTTTGACTCATATCAATCTCCGCTTACATCAGCTTACATCTCCGTTCTCTCTCTTCACGCCTGCTGTGTATTTGTCTAAGCAAAAAAAAAAAAAAGGGGGGGGGGGGGTGGCGGCTGGGCAGAACTGCTTTGTGGGTTTTGCTTTGGGCTACCTTGCTAGTCTCCATCCAGCTCATCCACACCTCGTCTGACGTCTTCCTATGACAACCTACCTATCTCTCTTTTTTTTTTCTCCACATCTCCACATCTCCTCTCTCCTGTCTTTATGTACCTCTGGTTCTCACTGAAGCCTTCAGCCCCTGAGAGTCCGTTGGACCCTGATAGCCCGTGGATCCTCGAGTGAGCGCCATCCCACACCCCCGACACCACAAACCCCCCCTCCCTCGCACGGACCGGAACTTCACAATGAGCAGACGTCTAAACGAACCAGCCACAGCGCGCAGATCAAACGCCGTCTCAGACGCCACCACACAGGCTAAAGGAACTCCTCCTCAGCGCTGAGGATTTCGGATGAGCGGAGGAAACACACTAGCTAACAGAGGATCTGGAGGTATGAGATGACGAGAGTATTCAACGATAGTATTAAGCGCATATGAGAGTGGATCTACACTCTGGCTTTGAAGAGCATTATAATGAGTGACCCAAAATAAAGAGAAAAAAAGACAACCTCTCAGTTTTGGATGAGTGACCTCTGTGCTTCTAAAAGTCCTTGAGTTGAGGCCTCTCGGCTTTGATTGTGAATGGAAGCCACAGAGGACTGCCCGTCCAGTTGATTTCTTTCTTTAAGGGGTTGTTCTTGTTGTTGTTAAAGCACAAATGACGGCTGCAGAGGGAAGGGTCACGCAACGGTGGCCTACCTAAAGGACGGGATGTGCTTTTGAATATGAACTGTTTACTTTCCTGTGAATGTTTTTGATTTTATTTTTTCTTCATGATGCTTTTTCTCTTTTGCTCTTGATTGTGCCGTTGCTGCCAAATGGAAGAATTTTGTGGGGCTTTTAGCTGCTCCTTCTATCTGTTACTGTTGTCTTACTGCAGTTATTATTATTTCATAATTAGCTCATGTTGGCAACTAAAAAGGCATGTTGTGCACTATGAACCTTTTTTTATGTCTAAACCTATATATATATATAAATATATTCAGTGTATAGATATATACACAATGATTGTAATGTAATATATGAATGTTATTTTTGTCAATGAAGACAGAAGGGAGAGCTTGAAGCACTTGGTTTTGGTTTAAATATATAGATATTTTTCTAAAAGAACAAAAATATATTATAATAAACAATAACAGCCCCGCTTTACCTTACCATGAAAAGCATTGTCACTGCCTTTCATTGGAAATGTGTGATATGTACGATGACTGTATTGAAACTGTGGTGTCACAGGTTTGTGCTGTGCTTGATTTGTCAATGAGGCCCTTGTTCATCAAACCCTGTGGACAAAACACACTGGACGCAAAATATCTAAATGCATAAACAGATCAATAAATATGCTATAAAGAAAAAGAAGAAATGAATTGAGTGTTTCAATGTATTCTAGACGCAGTCTAGGTTGTTTCTCAAGCAGTGTTGCATTGATTCATCATGTCCAGTGTGTGCTGTCTGCCCTTTGTCTTGTTTGTGTGTGTGTGTGTGTGTTTGCGCGTGTGTGAGATAGTCAGGGCTTGATGGACAACTTTTAACCAGACCTAATTAATTCATGTTACAGATATGATCACAAAAATAGTATTTTGCAAACAGACGAGGTGCATTGTTCCCATTGACTTGATATTTTACTGGGTGGAAATGATAATATTTGTACAGTTGTTTAACCTTTTCTTGCACCATTGGTCAAATATAGCTAAAATATAAGCAGAGAAGGAGCTCTTTCCAACAGAGCCATTTGATGAAATTATGTTCTCATTTAGCATTGAAAACTGAATTATGCCGTCTCAAAGAGTGACGTAATGAAGGCAGAGAAGTGGGACATTATATGATATCAGAAAGCACATGTGTGTCACAACAGTTTTATGTTGTTTTGATTTTTCAGCTGTTGGTGCTTTTGTTCCTCCTACACCAAAACATATTGTATCTATACGAATATGATCTGTCTCTGATATTATAGCATATAAGGAGATGTCGGTTAGATGATACAGTATCATGTTACTTCTGATCATCCTAGGTATTTTCAAATTCACAGTGCTTTGAATTGACACGGTGCAATGCAATATATCAGATACTCTTGTAGCAAATCAAGCGAATTGTATGAGAAAAGTCATTTCGGATGCTACAGTGTCACAGTGAAGATTTGAGACAACTTTGTCTTTCCAGTTTACCTTGTGTATGATTTACTCATCTGAGACCTCAGTGATGGGACGGTTATGCATTACGAGATGTGTGTCAGTTTCACTTTCTAATGCACAGTTTAAGATTGCCTTCAGTATGAGTCTTGTTAAAGAGCTATTTCTCATATCATCAAAGTTAGGTGTAACAAGAATCATCACAAAACATTTCAAACTGAAAATATATGGTGCTTTTTCAATACTGTTTGTATATTCTTGACTGAGAAAGCCGATGACAGACGTGTCGTTGAGGTGGTGGGTTTGACAGAGTGCTCTGCAGACTGAGTTTCTCATATTGAACAGCATATTTAATACATACTGAACAACCCTTGTGAATTATATAATCCGACGTTCTCTCTCTTTTCACCCTTTCTCCATTTATGCTATAACGTTATTTCTATCCCTTTAATGAATGGAGAATGACATTTCATATTGTTAGACTGTGAAATCTTGGTGTACTGTCCTATCTATCTTTGTATGACGTCCAATTTTTCTTGTAAAGGAAATGTCTACAAAATAAACATATTCACAAAAGACTCTCTAGCTGTTCATTTTTCAAACATATTATAATTTTTTTTCATGGTATGAATTGAATCGGGTAACGCTTTATTTTTATGTTTTCTTGCTCCACATGGTACATGTATTTACTATTGTAAAAACTATAAATTAGGCATAATTACGTACAACTAACCCTAAACAAACCACCGTAACCCTACAGTAAGTACGTGTACTTAATTAATATTACTCAGTACTGACACATTAAAATAAAGTGTAACCATATTTTGGGGTCTGTGGCATCTGAAAAACCTTAGCTCAGACACTCAAACATACATTATGATATAATTTAGATATGTTATTAATGAGCTTATAACGTCATCTAGTGGATACAATAGAAACAGCACATTAAGTAATACAATCGTAGATAGGTCACCCAAAAACTCTATCATCATTTACTTACCTTTTTGTTGTTTATAAACTAAAGCCCTAAGATTTTCGTTCACAGGTGAAAAAGAAAAAGAGCTGAGTAAGACAGAACGACACCATTCACTAGCATTGCATCTCTTTTCCATGTAATGAATGGCGACTGAGTTTGTCATAGAAATTCCGCTTAATAACAACCTTCCAGTTGTACCAGTAATTGCACACAAATTGACCCACTGGAGCAACAAAACGTTAAATAAAACATGTTTTGGAGCCAGTGATTGCTCAGTTCATTCATTCGGAACATTCCGGTCAGCCGATTCGTTCCGAAGACGGAGAGGATGTGACGTCACAAGATTTCCGCAACGCGTCGGTTTTTCCCCTGGCAAGATGGCGACCGTCACAACAGGTAAGAGAAAGAAATGACCCTTATTTTTGGAATAATGTGATTGTACAGGTCCGTAAAGCGGTTTAAATCAATATTTTGCTTTCTGTGGCGGGACATTCAGAGGGGAATGGCCTGGAGAGGTTTACGTTTGGTCGTCATGAAGGGCTAAAGCGCAATAACAGCAGCTGGGTTCAATGAAACAGGCCCCGCGCTGTGTTACTATTGTCTCGTTTTTACACAACATTGCTATTAATTTGCTATTTATATACCCTCAAACTTGCTTTAATATGTCTTATTAGCGAATAGAGTGAATATGTTTGTGTAGTGTACACTGTTAATGGCCATATTTGTAACAGACGTAATATTATAAGGCTATATGTTAGTTAGTTAACTGTTAGCGCCTTTTTGTAAGTGTAAAAGTAAGAACTGTTTTGTTGTTCTCATCTACTCTTCCTGTCTGGTGAGGTTGGCTGATTTCTGAAGGATTTTTGCACTTTTTCAGCTGTGAGACCAGCTAAACCAGCTTGGTCAGTATTTGAGACCACTTAAGGCCAGCAAACCATTTGCAGTTTGAAGGCAGTTTTCAGAATTGACTCTAGTGTGGACCAGTAATACTACTGACATACACTTACAAGTTAATCTTAAATGGAAATAAAACATTAGACCTCTTACAGTTTATTTTTGTTTCAATATAATATATATTTTTTACTATATCCATGCTGCTAGTTTTGTTAAAGAAATTCCATCCTCGTTTGCTCAAACCCGTATGAGTTTCTTTCTTCTTCTGAACACAAAAGAAAATATTTTTAAGAATATGGGTAACCGTACAGTTGGTCCCCATTGACTTCCATAGTATGGAAAAAAAATGTGGGATCCCAAGAGTTGTTTAGTTACAGACATTCTTTAAAATATGATCTTTTGTGTTCATCAGAAGAAATTAATTCATACAGCAGGTTTGGAACAACTTGAGGGTGTGTAAATAAATGGTGACAGAGTTTTTGGGTGAACCATACCTTTAAGTGTGTGAATGACCTTCAGTTACTGACACAAGACTCACAGCTTTATAAATAACACGTATGCAGCTGCTCTGGCTGACCATGTGTTCTCTCTTTATCGTTCATATCCTATATGCTGCTGCTGACCTCTTTTCCATCTTGAGTTGGGTCTACGCATTTTTTTGTTTTGTTTTGCCCCATAGTATTGATTTTCTGTGTCTATTTTTACCTTTTATGAGGGTGTTTTTCCATAACCAAATGAAGATGTCGTCCAATTAATGTCAAATATGTGCAATGTAATATATGTATATTGCAAAACAGCTGTTTTACTGATAGTCAAAACTAAAATCCATGCTAAACAAATAAGATGGTGTAAAACTGCTGTACTGATTGCTTTCATTTTACAGTCATTTTGTAACATAAAAAATGTGCACATTTCTCATTAGGTGCATCCCAGTTTGCAATACTGCACATACTTTTGCACTGATTGATACTGTCTTGTAGTATAAATAGTAATAAAAAAGAAAAAATAAGTTTTTATGTTACAATTAGTAACTTCACACTAAAAATTCCTAAAAGGAAAAATGGTCTCTAAATATCCAGATGATGCATTTTATTAACTGTAAAAAACCAAGTGTGGAATTTTTGGTCACTTAACGGTCACAGTTTTCCTCACATAGCTGACAAGGATGTACTATATCAATCTCCTTATGAAATTCATACATTACACATTTAAAGGGGTAGTTCACTTTGAAATAAATTTTTGATATGTTTTAGCTTACCTCAAGGGCATCCAAGATCTAGGTGTCTTTGTTTCCGCAGTAGCTTCAATTTTGATATTTTTAGGTCAAACCTTTCTTGTCTGTCAGTCATATAATGCAGGTCTATAATGAAGTGTACAGTGCATCATTTGAGAGACAACTTGTGAATTCAATGTGTACATTTTTCATAATGTGTATAATAATCACTGATTTTTTCCTTGGTGCTTTAGCCACCTCAGAATGGATCCAGTTCTTCAAAGATGCTGGGATCCCTCCTGGACTGGCTGTCAACTATGCCGTGTCATTTGTTGATAACAGGTAAAAACAAATGATTGCCTTTTAATGTAGTGATTATGAACATCTGTACTGTTCCTGTTGGGGAAGGTTACTTTTGAAAGTAATGTTACAATATTGCATTACCCCCTAAAAATGAACTGTTAGTAATGCGTTGCATTACTTTTGCAATACTTTTCTTTCTTACTTGTTTGTTGGTTTGATACATTTTTTATTCATTTTGATGAACTCTGCATTAGAGCCCGACTGATAAAGGATTTTGAAGGCCTATACCGATACAAATATTTTTGGGTTTTAAAATCCGATATATCGGCAGATATTTTATTTATTTATTTATTTTTTAAACTGGACATGATAGTCACAAATTTTGTCATGCTTACTTGAGTTGAGAGAACTGATGGGGATGTTCTTTTAATTGTTATTCAAACAATGTATGTATCGTGACCAACTCAGACTGTAGAGTGCCCTCTGGTGGACAAACTATACAACTCCAACACTCATGACATGGTTGAAGCGTGTTTCGTCCGTTTTTATTTTATTTTTGAAATATTCATTTATCGGCCATTATAACTGCCGATACCGATAGTTTGGAAAATGCCTAATATCGGTCTGCCGATATATCGGTCTGGCTCTACTCTGAATCTGTGTTTAAGCAAGTGAGATGAGTAAACGCATGCACACATTTAGTCTTAAGCTACAATACCCATCATGTTCACACACAACAACTCTGCTCTTACTCCTGATTTCTTTCAACATGGGGACAGGATAGTTGTCAGTCAAGACATGGGAAAACAGCATAACTTGCATTACTTACTTGAAAAAGTATGATATTTTGTTGTAAATTGAAAAGTAATGAGTTTCGTTACTTGTGACTTAGAAAGAAAGTATTCTTAATACGTAACTCGCATTACCACCCCCAACACTGCCTGTTTTTACGAGAATGTGCCAAAAAGATTGATCTCAGCCTGCTCATGTGTGCTTTATTTGCTGAATGTTTTTCACCATTTTGAAAGGTCAGGGTCTGCTCTGAAATGTGAACAAACAACATTCTGAACACAACTGGAAGCTGTAAATGTCTGAAAGTAACTTTTTTTCTGTCTAGGATTCAGAAAAACATGCTCATGGACCTCAGTAAAGAAATAATGATGGACTTGGGAATCACAGTCATCGGGGACATCATAGCTATTCTCAAACATGCAAAGCAAGTGTATAGACAGGTTGGTGCAAATGCTGGATTTTGACGCATTTGCGTCTGTGAAATCGATCTTTTAGTAAAACCCTAATAAATTTGCCAGTATTTTTTGGCAGTTTGACATTCTTGCAACACTTAAGTGAACCTGCCAAGCAAAGACGGTCAACAGTCAATATTTACAGACAGAATTATTAATAGATTGAATTTTTTATGTCAATTGGGAATAAAATAATATTGTACATAAATCAGCAGCAATCAGAAAGCCTGGTCTCTAGATATTGGTATCAGTATTTGTTGACCGATAAAGTTTGGCATGCTTCATTATTCTGAATAATGAATGTAAACTATTCTTCCTTTCTATTAATACAGGATATGTGTAAAATGGCAACTGAGGCCATTACAGCTGGACAAACTAGTGTACAGGCTGAACTGAGACGTACCGCTAACACTCGTAAGTGCTTTAAGTATTAAGTTGTTTTGCATATACTTGTTCCTTGTGTCCTTTAATTTACAGTTTCCCTGCAGTTCTTTACTGGTTGCTCATACAGGGAGTGATTTATCTTTGTCTGAATGGGCTGAAGCTGTAGCTCTGGTTATGTTCATGTTACTCTGACAGCTGCCACACGCATGATTGCCAATGCTCTGAGTCGGGACTCCCCACCAAGCACTCCTGCCCGGCGCCCTGACAACCGAATATCAGTGACGGTCTCCAACGCCAGTGCCAAACCAGGTACCCGTGATTGAACTTTATGGAGATGAGTAGAGATGTCAGTCAAGGGTTTAGTGAATGCACCTTGCTAGTCTTTAAAAGCTCAGATTATTTCAGGACACAGACATTATATATGTTATTTACAATATTGTTAAAAAAAATGGGATTGGTAAGATTTAGAAAAATAAAACATTAATAGAAGTCTGTTATGTTCACCAATGATGCATTTATTTGATCAAAATAGAGTACTATTGTGGGAATATTAGTATAATT